TGCGCAGAGGTGCTGAGCATCTTGGTGGACTGCCGATGACCATGCCGCACTGTATAATGAGAATGAGTATCTCTATACACTCCCAGGCCCCTGATAATAAACATGCTGCTCTGCGTAATTAATGAAATCTAGTTTTTTTTTTGTATCTATACACTTTCATACCCCCTGTTTATAAACGTACTGCACTGTACAATAATGCAGACTAACTTTATGCACTACCAGTAGCTTGAGAAAAAGCATGCTGCATTGTATAGTGGTACTGAGTATCTACATACACTTTTTATTTATTTGTGTAGCCCTCTTCAATTGAAGACGCGTCCCTGCATAACGATACTGAGTATCTCGAACGTGTAGCCCTTTCGCTTTGAAGGAAACTTTGAGCGCAAATGAACTGCAACATGCAGAACCCATGCCTGGTCTGCCCGGTCGACATTGTGCTGTGCCCTGCAGGCCTGCGGGACGGTGCGTCCTCGGGCTGAGGGTTACTCCTATTGCTGTGTGTCGATGGACAGCCGATTGAGAGTGAGAGAGAGGAACCGGCGAGGGGTTCCTTTGAATGTCGCTGCAGAGTGTATAGACATACTCAGCACTGATATACATGTAGTATCTGAGACACAAAGCGCGTTGCAGCTGGGATAGGCCAAGAAGGAAAAATAAAAAGGTTGGTGTCTGAGAAGGGAATGGGGTACAGGGGAACAGGGGAAGGAGGCAGGGGGCAGCACTGTCCTCTTCCCCAATGTCATCACATGCATATTACTTTGTAACATGCAGGGTGCAATTCTTCATGCCGTGAGCATACAGGGGGCGAGCGTCTTCTTCGGATTTTGGAGGGGGAGGGACCCCTCTTGCTTGTGATGCTTTTGGGGAGGGAGGTGTCTGCTTAAAGATGAGCGAGAAGAAATTCCTTTTTGTACTGGTTCCTAGTCCGTGGGCTGCAGTCACTCAGGTCGGCTTCAGTAGCTTGTACTGGAGGCGTAATTCTGAAGAGCGGGGAAAGAGTTAAAGAAGGTTTATTAGTATTGTGGAAGGTTAGCATCCTCTCCCAACATTCAGTATCTGAAAGGACAAGAGAGTTAAGGGTGTATTTATAATAAATCTGCAGAGCGATTTATCCTGCAAAACTGCCACTAGATGGCGCTGAGGAGCATTGGGGATAAGTATTATTATGGCCACGAGATGGAGCTGAGGAACATAGGGGATAAGTATTTATTATGGCCACTAGATGGCGCTGAGGAGCAAAGGGTATAAGTATTTATTATGGCCACTAGATGGCGCTTAGGAGCAAAGGGTATAAGTATTTATTATGGTAACTAGATGGCGCTGAGGAGCATAGGGAATCAGTATTTATTATAGCCACTAGATGGCGCTGAGGAGCATAGGGAGTATGTATTTATTATGGCCTCTAGATGGAGCTGAGGAGCATAGGGGATAAGTATTTATTATGGCCATTAGATGGCGCTGAGGAGCATAGGGAATATGTATTTATTATGACCTCTAGATGGAGCTGAGGAGCATAGGGAGAAAGTATTTATTTGGCCACTAGATGGAGCTGAGGAGCATAGGGGATAAGTATTTTTCTTTCCAATGCTTGTCAGCTCCATCTAGTGGCCATAATGTTACATTACATTAAACCTGGAAAGAAAATAAACTAATAAAATTCGTTTTTGCCCCCATTCACACATTTACTCATGTACATGCAGCAGTTTCACATAATAAATGGCTCTGTATTTTAGTTTCATAAATACACCTCATTAAGCTTATATGATCATGTACCCCAAGCAACTCATAAAGTGACAGCACAACTCCAGACACCCTTTTTACCCAATGCAGCACAGTGGCGTAGTGGTTAGCGCTTCTGCCTTGCAGCACTAGGTCAGGTCACTATCTGCAAGGAGTTTGCATGTTCTCCCTGTGCTTGCGTCGGCTTCCTCCGGGTACTCCGGTTTCCTCCCACACATTTCAAAGACATGCTGGTAGGTTAATTGGCTCCACTCTAAATCGGCCCTCTATGTATGCATGGGATATAGGGACCTTAGATTGTAAGCTCCTTGAGGGCAGGGACTGATGTGAATGTTCTATATGTAAAGCGCGGTGTAAATTGCCAGCGCTATATAAATACCTGTAATAAATGCAGAGGGATCTTATCACATCATTGATGGAAATGTTACCCTGTACTGGGGAATAAAGCAACACAGGCCCTGGCAACGGGGAGAGGGGCAAATGTACTTTTGGGTTTCCCCATAAATCCTGCAGGAGGATCAGGCCAATGAAGCACCATCAGTCCATCATCTGCAGTTTTTCCCATAATCCCCTATTATAGATCTGTATATAAGAGTAACACCAGACCACGGGCCACTCAATTGTCTCCAAAGTCCCAAACCTCGGGGTCTTAAATCAACTGGCATTTCATGTCTCACAGTTGTCCAGTCACTTTACACCCTCTTGGGTTGAAGCACATTGGGTTGGAGTAGGGCGATATTCACTGACCCCCCCCCCTGCCATTGACCGCTGATTACCGCAATCTGTGGATGCCTCTTAAGCTGACCACACGCAATGCAGTGTAGTTGTACAATTGTACAATCTCCTTCAGTTTTATCAACTATGTTGAGTGAGGACCTACCTGATTGGATATAAATTGAATGGATTGTTTCGGTGGGCCCTCCCACCGCACTAGTAAATCTAAAGGAGATTGTACAGGGGGTCATAGAATCAGGAGGGATACATGTATGATCTAGCTTGGCTCAAATGCCGAGGGTGTCCCATCGGTGGATGCTCAAACCAACCTTGAAATCCCTGGCAAGGAATCAGAGCCTGCCTTGTGATAGAACCAGCTATGTATGTGGAGTTATCCTTTATTTATCAATATATCATGTGACTAGATAATACCGGTCGATACAAAATACATGCTCATGGTCATATTCACTCCGATTATCAAGATCAAGATGAAGGATAACAGAAGAAAAGGAAATTCTGACTTATACCGTCATGGTGGTTCATACAGTGATAATTAGGCTGCTCGGCTGGGGCTCATGTTGGCACGATCCTATTATCATACTGGCACCGGCCATGGATAGAAAAATGGCGGCTCTGTCCTTTCAGGCCGGCGCTAATGAATCACGTCCTGTCTATTGGGTTTCTTCTCTGTCTCTTGTTACAGTTATGTCCTTGGCTGTCCTACAGCCAATATAATCCCAGTTTTGTGACCAGTTAACCCCACTCTTTATACAGGAAGTCTCTGGTCTGCTCAAATCCCTGTGTCCCCTTTATACAGGAAGTCTCTGGTCTGCCCAAATCCCTGTGTCCCCTTTATACAGGAAGTATCTGGTCTGCTCTAATTCCCGTGTCCCCTTTATACAGTAAGTCTCTGGTCTGCTCAAATTCCCCATGTCTCCTTATACATGAAGTCTCTGGTCTGCCCAAATCCCTGTGTCCCCTTTATACACGAAGTCTCTGGTCTGCTCAAATTCCCCATGTCTCCTTATACAGGAAGTCTCTGGTCTACTCCAATCCTTCGTGTGCACTTTAGACAGGAAGTATCTGGTCTGCTCCAATTCCCCATGTCCCCTTTATACAGGAAGTCTCTGGTCTGCCCCGCCACTTGGGTACATCTATAGGCAAGCTGTAGTGAGGTATATACTGATACGTCATGGTACATGGCTGGGTACACATATAGGCAAGCTGTAGCGGGGTATATACTGATACGTCATGGTACATGGCTGGGTACACATATAGGCAAGCTGTAGCGGGTTATATAATGAGCCTGGATGGGACGTCTCTGAGTTCAGATCCCTCATTGAGATATGACACATCTTTGCCCCGTCGCTCTGTACATCCCCCGGGGGGGTCACACCGATACTACATCTATATATATCTCTGCCTGGAAAAGGTCTGCTTGTCCTGTCCGTGTCACATGGGACCCGGGAGGAGGGGAAGAAGGTCAGATCTAGTGTTCTCATTGGCCAATACGGAGAGCCGAGTCCACAGACAGATTGTCAGAGGATAGATCATGGGACATAGTGACACCGAGGCCCAAATATAACACAGACATCTCTCCATGACTAGGAGGACAGCCAGCTTCATTAGGGAATATGGAGGCTGTCATTGCTGACTTCTGAAGAGGCTGATTGCCTGGCTGTCATGCTGATCCGACAGCTTCACTATGTTCTGGGCTGGGACACAGGCGGATTAGGAGATCGCAGGGAAGTTACATTGTATCTGTTGCACACTTTACAGACTTGCCCGCGGTGCACACTGGGTGCTGTAGTGAACTGGAGGATGGGGCCACCATACAATCTTATGAAATAAGGATCTTCACCGGCACACCGCGGTATAGTGATCATCTCGTCCTTCATTCACATAAAGCAACCGGCATCACAAGACGATGTTTCAGAATCGCTTCATCAAGGCCCTGAGAAAGTGATCCTGTGAGGTCCTGAAGAGAGAGCAGCAGTGGGCGGTCTTTATTACAGGAGGGGGCGGAGACAAGACCAGTCACCCTGCACAAGAAGAGAAAGCAGCAGTGACCGGTCTTTATTACAGGAGGGGGCGGAGACAAAATCAGTCACCCTGCACAAGCAGAGAGAGCATCAGTGAGTGGTCTTTATTACAGGAGGGGGCGGGGGCAAGACCATTCACTCTGCACAAGAAGAGAGATCAGCAGTGGGCGGTCTTTATTACAGGAGGGGGCGGAGACAAGATCATTCACCCTGCACAAGAAGAGAGAGCAGCAGTGAGCGGTCTTTATTACAGGAGGGGGCAGAGACAAGACCAGTCACCCTGCACAAGGAGAGAGAGCAGCAGTGAGCGGTCTTTATTACAGGAGGGGGCGGAGACAAGACCATTCACCCTGCACAAGAAGAGAGAGCAGCAGTGACCGGTCTTTATTACAGGAGGGGGCGGAGACAAAATCAGTCACCCTGCACAAGCAGAGAGAGCATCAGTGAGTGGTCTTTATTACAGGAGGGGGCGGGGGCAAGACCATTCACTCTGCACAAGAAGAGAGATCAGCAGTGGGCGGTCTTTATTACAGGAGGGGGCGGAGACAAAATCAGTCACCCTGCACAAGCAGAGAGAGCAGCAGTGACCGGTCTTTATTACAGGAGGGGGCAGAGACAAGACCATTCACTCTGCACAAGAAGAGAGATCAGCAGTGAGCGGTCTTTATTACAGGAGTGGGCGGGGGCAAGACCATTCACTCTGCACAAGAAAAGAGATCAGCAGTGGGCGGTCTTTATTACAGGAGGGGGCGGAGACAACATCAGTCACCCTGCACAAGCAGAGAGAGCAGCAGTGGGTGGTCATTATTACAGGAGGGGGCGGAGACAAGACCATTCACCCTGCACAAGAAGAGAGAGCAGCAGTGACCGGTCTTTATTACAGGAGGGGGCGGAGACAAGACCAGTCACCCTGCACAAGGAGAGAGAGAGCAGCAGTGAGCGGTCTATTATAGGAAGCTCCAAGTTTCAAACTGGATAACAGAAGAAATATGCAAAGCTCACCAAGATCTCAGGAAGAATACACAGGACTCTTGTGCGAGGACAATATCTGCTTAACCAGAGTTTCACTTTAAATAAATGTGAGTGTGAAAGCGACACAAGCAGCTCATATAACCTTGTGTAGCACTTCTACTAGTTACCTAAATCATTGAACATGTAACAGAATAAAATGTAGCGCAGCAGCGACACGCACCAACATTGTAACAACATGACGGGATCTGTGCTCCAAGCCTGATAGTGAGAACAGCTGCGATTGTTATCATGTGATTGTTATTCTATGACGCCGGTGTTTCATGTGGTGATCCAGCAATGAATGTGACACTGTTCACACACACGATGCGTGTAATGAGGTGCTAATCACCCTGTGAGCTCCGTCCTCTGGAGGTGGAGGTGCCCTTAAACAGCCGCCAACTTGGTCCTATTATTAAAGCAGACTGACGGGCCTTCTGCTCAAATATGACTCAAAGTCATCTCTACTCCACAAT